CGCAATAGGTCCTAAGTTCTTGTCAAATTTAGATCAAGGAAGCAGTTGTTGACAAAAGTATCACGTAACTATTATAGCAACCCAGAACAATACAAACAAATAATTATTATGTGCTGTGTAGTGTACGTGTATGGTATTCTTATGATGGTAGTGCGTCTGAAAATGGAGCAAAATAGCGTGCCCAAGTTTATTCTTGAGGCAGTTGAAGAGGCCAAGAAACATGTATACCTTCAAAGTCCAAAAGACTCTATGAAAAAACATATGAGGACTTTAATTCCTGATGTGCCCAACATAGTGTAAATGAGCAGCAGTACTTTGTAGAAGAAACTCTCCTGGCCTGGCATATACATTAATATGAAAAATGCAAAAAAATAAGCCATCCACTCTATGGAGCTTTTACTCATTGTTGAAGGCAACAGTTCTTTTGTGTATTTATGTAGAAAAGGGCCGGTTTTAAAAGTTAAAAACTGTAAAAATTGTATTTTCAATTTCAAAGAAGATTGAATTTTACCATTATTGCTTATTTCATTATTCTTATTAATTGAAATAAAGCTTGTTTTGTTGAAAAAAGTTGGTATTTTTTGAACTAAGCAATAGAAATACAAAAAGTTTAAAAAAAAATGACGAATTTTTGTTTATTTTTGAAACTTTCAGGCCCGCGGGCATAAAAGGCGCCCTAGGGCGCAAAAGTACTACTTCACGCTTTAAAATGCGGGCGTAAAAGTGCACTTTTACGCTCGTTCGTGCATAAAGGTATATGGTGTCAGATTCACCAGGGGTCGTATTTTCGAAACCATGCGAATTCTTTCGCATGCGATCTAATTCGAATGAAAAATGTCGTGTACGAACTAAAATGCGTATTTTTGACGACCCTTCGAAAATTATATCGTATACGAGTATCATTTGCGTTGGCAACGTCGCAAATTCGAGTATTTTATAATGGCCATTTCGACCGATACAAAAAACGAAGAAGATTTTTTTGACATCTGACTTTTTAAATGCTGGTATAGAATAATATAGATCTTGCTGAAATAAAATGTGTGCGCCTAATCGTTGGGATTTCCTAGAACATCTTTGTTTGTTATAACGTTAATGAACAGTCATGGTTTTTGGATGAGGCTCTTAAAGCTCTATCAACTCCGAGGTGAGTGGCTTCGTCAGGCGATATAATTTTCGGAACTCAGTACCTACTTACACGAATATTCTTTCAGCGGATCAACAAAAAGGATGTAACACCCTGTCCCTACGATCTGCCAGTATTTTTGCTTCTTCGAGGGCATCAACATTTCTGTCGATTAAATAATCCAAGCCAACCATTCCAAAAACTGTCTTTTAAGAAAGCAGGACAATTTAATTCACAAATTATTTGGAAACGAATGAAAAGTCAAAAGGGGAAGGAACAACGAACACAATTTTCAATTTGCACAACGTATTTATACATAAACAACAAATATAACGTATATTAACCAAATAAGCACTTCAAAATTCCAAACAATGCGCAGAATCAAGTAAAATCGCATGCGAAATGTGACATTCGACTGGTGGAGACCCACTCGAGTAAACGTACACGAACCAAATCGTGTACGGACCGTTCGAAAGTGATTCGAAAATACGGAAACTCAATTTTCATGCGAATTTCGCCTTATTTCGTATACGAGCGGCATTCGAATGGTTTCGAAAATACGACCCCAGAACAACCAAGCTGTCAACTGTAAAATTTCACAATTTTACAGAAAATAACATTGACTACATAACATTGTAACCAAAATAAAATAAAATTATTGTTTGTTGGATTTTGAGTGGTTTCATTTGCACACAAAGGGGCTACACGTTATCTTAATTTTTTCTTGAATTCCACGACCCTAGGTTATCTTTTCTTAAAGTAACAAATCCCAATTATTTGTAACAGTAACTGTAGATATTTTCAATTTCGATACAGCGTCTGATTGGGCTCGGAATAGCGCAACTTTTTTTCCCATTTAACCAAAATTGTATCTCTTACCGTTTCCGAAATCCCCATGTAGTCACTTTTACCTGTGGCACCCTGTATACCTAGAATTTTCTGAAAATTTTGTGGTTTACTAATTTAGAGGTGGAAAGGTTGTTCCCAGGGGCCCGATTTTCGTCTCAGGGAGTAGAGCCCTCCGATAGAACGAATGTTTTGTCCTTGTCAACGTAATCGAAAAGTAAATGAGAATGATAAAGACGAAAAAGTTGTTTTCTCGGGGAGCTCTAGGTACTCCCGTCTCCCTGAGACGAGAATCCGGCCCCAGGTCGGAAATGATGTTTTCTAGTACCTAAGACTACCTAAGATAGTAGAAAAAATAGATTGTTGAGCCCTTTGACAACATCGCAGTGGCAACAGTGGCACATCCACGGGGGGGGGGGGGGGGAAAGGAGGTTTGTAACTACCCCCCCCCCCCAGAGAGGCCCAAGAAAATTTTAAAAAACACACAAGTCCCCGTACTCGACCCTCGACCGGCACTCGGCAGATCACAAAACTTGTTATACCTACGTAAAAAAGGTTTTTTTTTTGGAGGCTTAAAATGCGTTTTGGGCGTGGTACCCGAAAGAATTTTCTGCCTCCGCCGGCACCTGCGGTGGGCTCCACCTAGTGGGTCCTATTTTGGGTGTGAACCTCTTCACGAGCCACGAGCCCTCACTGGTTGAGAACCTCTACCCCCCCAGAATGGTTCTATAGATCCGCCACTGCATCGCAACCTGTGGCTCCTGATTTTATATTAAACATGATTTATTGTTAATGCAAAGCAGGGTTTAATAAGCTGTGGGAAAGCGAATATTAGGTGTTCACATATTTGTGCAAACTGCAATGGTACCTATATCTGGTTCTAATTCAGATGTTGAACTATATGGGGATGACGGGGATGTGTTTGATTTTCCTTATAAATACTTCTATTTATTGGATAAATTTTCTGTGATAATATTTTTATGATTGAAAAATCAGTACATTTTTCTAATGACATTAGCTTTCAAAACAATTTTTAGACCCTATAAATATCGATCGACGATTCTTGCAATACTAACTGCCGCGGTGCCGGAGTTAATATTTCAATACCATCTTTTCTAGACAAGTCGAAGCGTGTTATACAACAAAAGCTTTGTTCCGACATAGCCGGAAATAGTACAATTTACCGTCAAGATTTGAAATTATTGAAATGTGTTTTGGAGCCAATTATTTTTCCTTTGAAAACCGTTTCTATCAGGACTTCGATGGCAGTGCAATGAAAAACCTAGCTTGCAGAGTTTAAGCATAATATCTTATGAATTATTTTGTTGCCAACGTTCTAAACTATTCAGTCCCATTCGATATTCTAATTATTTCCGTAAATGTGGATAACAATTTCTCAGTATCTCCGAAAAACCAGAATAATAACGGTACATGCTGTCAACCCCAACCCCGACGACAAGCACTCCAACCAGTAAAACTTTATTGGCCTCTACGATACCCCTTTTGCAAACAGCACCACAGTGAACGGTACCTGATAAGGAGAACATGAGTCCCTTTCATCAAAGTCTACTTTTATGTTTTTATGGCGATTCGTATATTTATTGTGCGACTCTCGTTTGGAATAAGTATTCTGATGTACGTAGTTATTATTATCAGGTACACATACACCATACATACGTAAAAGACTACAATGAAACCAGCAATACCCTCAGTAGGTATAGAGGTGGAAAGAAATGAAAATGAGACATCAAAAAAAAAAAAAAAAACAGTACATACAGATTTCATTGTAGGTCATGTCAATATTCATGGGCTCATCATGCCACCATCATGCAATTTTTCAACTTGAAATAGTATATTACATCCGGAGGTGGAAAGGTTTCGAGATTTTAGTTAGACCTCGGTTGCGCCTCGGTCTAACTAATTCTCTCGACAGTAATGAAACACTACTATTATTTACAATCATACATGTAATATTGACTTTACTGACTTTTAAAAAGTTCGAAAATGTCATTTTTTTGACTTTTACTTTCGGCCCACGGATCGAAAGTTAACTTTCGACCCGTGGGCCGAAAGTAAATGAAATTTTTAAAATTTATTGTATTTTTTGACTTTTACTTTCGGCCCACGGGTCGAAAGTAAAAAATAAAAATTTCAAAATTCGAATGATAGTAAATAAAATAACTAAAATTTCTCGATAGTAATGAAACACTTTCCACCTCGGTATGTAATATACTATTATCAGGCCGAAAGTGAGTTCCCCAGGCCAAAAGTGAGAGGAGAACTGTCACTTTCGACCTGCTTTAAATTTAAAAAAAAGTAAAGTGACATTTTCGTTCCTTCAAACCAGTAAGAAATTTGAAAATTACATATATGGTTTAAGATAAACACTTCTTTGACGGTATAATGTATTTTCGTGATAGATTTAAAATTACAGGGGGAAATAATCATATATTATATCCCAAGAGCTTTAAATTTAATCGATTAAACTATTCAACATATTTTGAGCATGATTTTGCTTGGAAAATAGTTGAATGCATAATAACTAAGCCCGAGACCGCGAAGCGGTCGAGGGATTTTATTTGAAAGTTATTATGCATGAAACTATTTGCCAAAAAGCAAAATATTGCAAAAAATATTTGCAGAGTTTAATCCATTTAAATTTATAAGGTCGAGTGATATACGGCTAGATTATTGGGTTTAAAGCCAGTAACAAAGAGTTCTATTTATGATAAAAGGTCAGAATATTTCTATCAAAATTCTGTCAAAAAAGGTAAACAAAAATTTAATCGCGAATAAACAGGTCTTGTGCATAATCACTTATTTAAACAAAATGTATTCAAAAAATGACGTTGTCTGATTCGTCTATTATGTCATGAATGAAATAATCCCCATAAAATTACACTAGTTGAATTGTCAAAATCTTGAAAGTTCTAGGTATTTATTTTAGGGACCAAAATCAAAGTTCGTTGCCTACATTCTCATATATAATCGAATAATAAAAGCGGCCCCCTCTCAAATATATCTATTTTACCTTGTAATTTGGCAACTCCTTTGAAAGTTACGGGATCAATCAATGTCGCGTCGCTTCGGCCCTTTTTGTTCACAGCATACAGCATTATCCGGTAACTAGTTCCCGGATCTAAGCCGTCAGCAACAAAGATGGGCGCCTGTAAAATTAGGCAGCAACGTTAGGAAGGTTTTTGCTTGTGTGTATAAAGAATGGGAAGTGTACAAATTGTCTAGTGCTTCTGTGTCAGTTTTTTGTGTATTATTTTAAGCATAAAGGGAGTCTCGTCAGAGAAAAAACTGATTGAATAGGGCTGAACGCTGACAAAATGTAATACAAAAAATACTTACTTTATATGTCGTCAAGTTGAATCGAGACTTTAAGCTAGGCAACTCAAAAACTTCCATTTCAAAGCTCTGAGTTAGGCCTCCGTCGTATCCTTCCACACATTCCACTTGTAATGAATTGGTTGTCTGATTAAGGATGCTGCAATTTTGTAACTGAGACGGCCGTCCTGTAACAAGTAAACTATTTAAAACCTGATTATTTTCAAAGTGTCTACGATTCTAATGAATCTAATTAATTTTCAGACTCAGAGTGCAGACTAGAGCCGAATGATTTAAAATCAACATTGAAAAGAAAATGCAAAAGATTTATTGTTTTGCCACTCTTATCTTGAGTCATATAAAATTTTGATAGAAAATCAAGTTGGCAATACCACATTTGTTAAGACTTTGTGTAAGAAAGTGATAACAAATTACTATAAAGTGAAACTAAAAAATTTCCAATTCGTAGATCAAAAGAACAGTCCTTAAAACAGTTTTCACAATATATTCATTTGTCGCAGTTACACCCCCTGACGCGTTTCGGTGGGTTACACCATTATCAAGGGTGATTAGAAATATACAAGCTGAAGTCACAAGAGCAAAAATATAGTTCATAACAGGAATTAAACATGTCTTTTTGAGTAGATAGGTATCTATAATACCTATACCATTTTCTACTCCTATTTTATAATAGGTACGCTTCTTAGAAGATCAAAATCTGTTTCAGAATGAACTTCATTAATATACAGAATTTCATTACGATACAAATTTTTTAGTCATCAAATCGAATTATTTTAAAATTGGAGAATGTTTATAAAAAAAATAACAAATTTGTTATTTTTGTATTGTTTCTTTTTTTATTCGCTTCACGAGAAGAAACAACAAAAATATAATAGCTGTCTGCATTGCGCTCTGTTGAGTCCATTGAAGGTTGAATTGAACAGAAAATAAATAAATCCGCGGAGTGCGAGTGCGAAATTTATGTGCAAATAATGTCTAGGTCTTGATTTTCGAAATTGTCAATAGATAGCACCACCAGTATAATGGGACTAGAAAAAATAGTGCATGCAACTCTCATGTAATGGCCATTAACACATGATCATTACATCAAATACTACGCTTGTTTCGTATATAACATGCGAGTGTATTATAAAGGCTATTACATGAGGTTTGCATAGCATACACATTGAAATGCATATTTATTTTGAGAATATTAAATTTCTTAACAGGTGGTGCCATCTAATGAAAATTATGACATTGAGATTAGACGTCATTTGCGCATAAATCCCGCACTCGCGCTTCTCGGATTTATTTATTTTTTTGTTCGACTCTTTTATTTGTTTGTTGTTTCTTCTCCGCTTTTTCGGACAATTTTTATTAAAAAATTTAAATCAAGCCAACGTTTCGACACCGCGATCTATGTCATCGTCAGGGCTAAAGCAAAAATAAAAAATCAAAGGACACAGTCCAAAAGGGAGGCCTTCCCCATTATTATCACAATGAAGAATGAAGTTCATTATGAAACAGATTTTAATCTTTTAATTACCTAGCCTATTATAAAATAGAAGTAGAAAAAACCTATGCATGCAGCTAAATGCATCTCTGTTAGCATCAAAGTGCAGCCGAAGCAGAAATACACTCTAGTGCAAGAGAGATAGTTTGGCATTAGGTACATGCGCTACCTCACCAGGGCGGACAGTTGGAAGTATCTCGGCTCAGCATTGACTTCAGGCCAACCGGACGTGTTTAGTACTATCCAAGCCCACTCTTTAATGAGTTATCGGCAGCCCCACTTAAATCACAACAGAGACTTAATGCCTCAAGAGTTTATGTCATTCCAAAACTCTTTCACAAAGTGGCACTAGGCAACATAATGGTGGGCTGCCTTCTGAAAGCGGATGGGCTCATTAGATAATGCGTCAGGAAATGGCTCCACCTACCACATGACACCCCCACTGCATTTATATATGCCTGCACAGAAAACGGTGAACTTGTAATCCCGTCGCTTAGATGGGGTGCCCCATGATCACAAGGGGGGATCTGCTTAACCTTCAGCTGGCGTTGCTCGATGGTAACTATACAACCAACTACTTTTTGGCAGCTGAATTAGACTGCTCGTGCAGAGCTAGGTGCCAAGTACCAGAAATATTGAATCACGTCCTCCAGCAAGGCCTGACATCCCATGGTCGTCGAATTAAAAGACACGACGCCTTGGCGACCTACCTGAGGAAAAATTTAAACACTCAAGGCTACGAAGAACTGGCAGAGCCAAAAATTAAAATGGACAATGCAATCCTGAAACCCGACATTGTCGCAACCAAAAATGACAATTGCTTAGTCATCGTGTCATCGACACGCAAGTGTTCAAGGCAAAAGATTCAAGAACAACGACATTGACCGTGAACTGGAAGGAGATATGGACTGGGAAATCTTATGCCGACCTAATTGAAAGTAAAATTATCCAGCCGACGGAAGCAGCGATAATCAGCGTCCGTGCTACAATGGAGAGTGATACACTAACTTTTCAGCAAGAACACGCAGGTCTGGAGAAGAAGACCTCCGCGTCCACAGCCACCGCGACCCAGACAGAATTGAAGAGACTCAAGTACAGGTACATCTTAGCCTGACACGATTATAGAACGGAAACCCTCAGGCGTAAGATGATCAATATGCCAGCGTCTGCCAAAAAAACGCTGCCGTCTTTTTCGTCTGCCGATATTTTTTCTGAAAATACGTTAGTAAATGAATCGATTTGCAAAAGAAATTGATAAATGTAGTTCGCTGCAACTTAAAAATTACAAATTTGACCAGCGTCTGCTGAAGTTATGCTGTCAAACAAATCGTCTGCCTGTGTAATTTTGATAAGTCCTCAAACTGTCAATTCGTTTCCGAAAATTTCGGTCATGATAAATATCGTTTACCAAAATGAAAATTCACCCCTTTTAAAATTTAACCCCCGATTAAAGCTGCCACCTTGAAACGGCAGACGGTCAGTTTTGGTATGTCCATTCAGTGACGGCTCGTGCCCTAAAAGTTTGGGTCGGCCACACATTTTTTCTTCGGGTACGTCGCTAAATGCGCCGCAGGCGAAATTTGTTTTGAGTACCACGCCCAATTTTTGCGAAAGTTTATCATGAATTGTTAAGAGGTACGATGCCTAACTATTTAAAATTTATTTAGCGCTCCTTCTGTAATGATAATCATCCCATTATGTTCATTGTTTCTGAATGATTGCTAGATTACTGAACCACTTGCCAAACGCCGCGACGCCTGATGAACCCCAACAAAAAAATACTTGCATTTTCTTGATGACAATCGGAATAATACAGAACACATCTCGCGTGTGCACACACGCACCTATCGTCCTAATATCAACCATCAACCGGCTGGCCGGCCACTCCGGCCAGCCGTTTCTTGTGCTCTATTCCGCATTTCGACATTAATGTGATCGATTATTATTTTGCCTATCAAAACGCTTTCAAAAGTTTTATGTTTTATCATAAAAAAAGGATGTAACATTTTGTTAAGCAAGCCCCGAGAATATACTGGGGTACAAGAGATCGTTTTTTAATTTTTAAATTACTTCTAAAAAAACTATAATAATAATCATTGTGGTGAACAGGAGACGGCCAGCAATCTATGGGCCGAAGTTGTGTGCAGCCAGTTGAGATCTACGTCATGGAAATCATGGGATGCCACTACTTCGCGCTGACAGATAAACTTGAACAGCGCGGTGATTAGTTCATTTAGCATAGCAATGGCGGCTCGTGACAATCCAAACTGGTGAGGCCCATGGCCCATCAAGTTAACCCAAACAAAATTTTCAAGTGTTACGCCCAAATTTTGACCCAAAATTTCATCGAAAGAACATCTCGGATATTTTTTTTTGTATATTTCTAATGAAAATTTTCATTTCTTACAGTTGCAAAACAACAGCAGTAGGTACATAATTCTTATTTTAATACAAATATTGAGTTTCAAATTAACAAAATAAATTCCAAAAAACAGTTTTTTAACCCGCAACAGACCAAAATAAAAAGTATGAGCCAATTAACCAATTAAATACTTGTCGCAGCAGCAAGCGATGCAAGGTTTCTTATTAACAAGCCCAAAATTGTGCGCCTCAATGCCTATAAAAATTCGCTATCGTCTCACCTACAGTTGAAGCGTTGTGGTGGGGAGTGCCGTGGCATCGCTTCGGCGTTCTGTGACGCACATGAGGCCAAAATTTTTGGGATTGCTATTTTATTTTAATGCTGTCTGGCAACGATTTGAGCGCCTATATAGATAAATAGGTAGAAGCGCGCGCTAAATTCAAGAAATAGTATTATATTTTAATGAAAATTCGATGTTTTGATTCTTTCAATGATTGAAAATAGCTGAAAAACGTTAAATATTTAATAAATATTATTTCAAAATTTTACATCATTATTGTAATTTTTACATGTGAGACCCGGCCTCAGTTGCTTTATACGACGAGCCGCCACTGTAGCATAGAAGCAAAATCCTGAAATCGGCTGGCCGATGCGAATTTTTATTGGATATTTGGGTCGTTCTCGGATCCCGGGAACCAGTGCAGACAGTAAAAGAAACAGATATTTCGAAAAATAAGGCATTTGTTTTTGAGTTTTTATTTTTTCGGGAAAATATATTTTTTTTAAATACATTATGGCAAAATTGTATGTATCTTATTTATATATTTTTTGTTTGGTGTTTGGTCATCATATTTTTTGGTACGGCCTGGACGACCCTGCCGCCCCTGACGTCACTCCCAGTGATGTCCAGGTAATTTTCAGTCTGGAGTGCACGTTCACCTTGACACCGCTCGAGCGGTGAGCGTTGCGCGATGCCGCTGTAGTGATGCCCAAAAATAATTTTAACATTATATTTCAAATGAACATGTTCACACTGGATCGGTGCGTCGCGCGGTGTTAACCTTAGACCATATAGCACAGAGAGACACGATTATTTACATTTAATAGCAATCCAAGATTAAAATCATAAAAACGGTGGTTGCCAAATTGTACGGGTACGCCACACATACATTGAGTACGCCTCCATATTTGTACAGAATATTTTGAATAAAAAGCGTTGTTAAATACAAAAATAAATAAATATGACAACAGGGCCCTAAATTCTAAAGCCTGGCGTACTACGGTAAATTATTGATTTTCGGGTCTTCATTCAT